CTGGCCGCGGCGCGGCGCGGATGGCCAGCTGCGGGCAACGGCGCTGTGGGGGGGGGGGCGGCCGCGGGGTGCGGTGCTCCTGCACGGCCTTGGGGCGTGGGCCGTCCGCGGTGGCGCGGCGTGGGGCGGCCTCAGGGCGGCCGCGGTGGCGCTCGGCAGGCTCGGGGCGCGGGGCGTCCACGGTAGCGCGGCGCGGCGCTGGCGAGGGCAGCCGGTGGAGGCGCGTGCGCGGGCGGCGGTGGCGACGACGAAGCTCGGCTCTGCTTTGCTAGGGCGAGAGAGGGAGAGGAAGAGAGGAAGATAGGGGCGGGCCCATAGGTAATAAAGGCTCGGCCTACGGCGCCAAGCTCGGCGCCAGGGTAACTGGCGCCGAGCTTCCTGCCATGTCACCTTCCACGTTCGCTTCGAGCCCAGGAGCTCGACGCCAGGGACGCTGGCGCCGAGACGTGTTAGCTTGGCCCCAGCATCAATGGCACCGATCTATATTCTGAAATCTTTCCTCCAGGAGTTTATTTGTGAGAAAGTTTCAAAAAAAAAGGTTAAAAAGTAAAAAATTCAACCCCCATGAGCAGGCTCATCTCTTGGGAGGCGGCCGCGGCTGCGGCTGCCTTGCTGACGGCACTCCCCAGCATGGACCAGGCCATGCTCAGCACCGTCTCCGCCATCTCGCTCGATCTCGCCGGCCTCTTGCTGCTCTCTCTCTCTACCAGCTGATGACTAGTAGAGGATCGGAAGAAGCTCACAACACTGAGGGAAGCTCGGAACACTGGGAGTCTAGGACTGGGAGATATGCACAAGAACAAAAGAACAAGTCTTGGTGGGTTTACTTTAGTAAAGCAGATGCAAAGCACGTCCAATAATTGCCGGTGCATGGGCCCGTTCTGTCTCCCACAGACCCGCGCCAATCATGCATATGGTTCTGCAACCGCTGCCTCTGAAGCAAAACAGGATGTTTTTATTTCTTTTCAAAAAAAAAAAAAGAAGCCTAAGGATTGGCGCGCGCCAGAGTTTTCAACTGACTATCATAGAGAGCTACTACACACACTGGGTCTTAACACAAGGAACAAAACACGTTTCTTCTGCTTCACATTTCTATGTAGAATAATACTCCCTCCATTTCAAATTATAAGACATTTTCTTCTAGTACTACTCCATAATTCTTTCCACTCGAGAGACCAAGGGGTTGCCTATGCCAGGCAAGGAACCAGCTAGGCATCGATCTCAACCCAGCAAGGTGGCTAAATCAGATGCCTCAAGAGCCTCCCTGGGCCAAGCAACCTTGCCTAGATAGGAACCAAGCAAGCCCCAAGAAACAGATGGAATTATGCTCGATCCTAGGACAAATGCTTTAATTTGGTTCACCTTCACCCAATGTCCAGTTGACATGCATTGATGCCTGCTCTCACACGCTTCTGCTGTTTTTTTTTCACATGCATGTTCATAGATGCACCTTTACACGAGATGCTCCAACTGAGTGAAGAGTGCGTCCCACTCCCACCCACAGGATGCCAAGAGAAGGGGTAAAAAATTCCATGGGACCATCTGCATCTGGCACGGTGCGGACGTAGAACCAAATCACAACACATGGCAAGAGAGTTCGGAACCAACGCTAGAAAGCCAAGGCAGCAGGTTAGATCAAAAAGTCACAAGTCAGCAATTGGATGGACATCCGCACGCTGTAGGGTGCGGACAGTCCCCATGATTTTTTTTTCCAGAGAAGAAACCTGTTGGACCAAGGGACCCCCAACATGCATGAGCCACACGCCCAATGGCCTAAGGGCACCCGCAGTTGTTGGAAAACTCGGGATTTCCAGCATCTAGTATACGGAAGGCCTTCGCCCAGCCGGTTGCTCTGGACGAAGGTATGAGAAGAGGAAGGTGGGTCCAAGCTCAGTTAGGGTGCCACTTGCTAATTTCGTACATTACAATCTTTCCCTCAAACCACTCAAGCAAATTGCCGAGATATTCTTACACTAGTTCTAACCCTCAGGGTGCCCTCTGACTTTGTTCTCCTACACTGCCTGTGCTCCTTGGGCCCCGATTTCCGGCCCACCAAGGGCCCATCTCCAGTTTTTGGGTTGTACTGTCTCGGCCGTCTTCCGCACAACCAGGTTCTTTGCTCAGGGCGCAGGTGCCTCCGTCCTTCGCTTTGGGGCCTCCGCCTTTGATTTCGTGCCGCCCCTATGTGGGCCCATGGGCAGGCCTTCGCCCATCCCGTCGGTTGTAGGCGGAGGCCTCGCCGTGCCCGGCGAAGGCTCTGCGGGATCGCCTTCCGGGCCCCCCTGCGTGGGCCTCCGCCTTCGCCTCCTGGATCTCCGCGTCGTCCTAGCCTTCGAGCAAAGGCTCTCCGTCGGGTGCTCCTGCAAAACATCCAAAGACGATCCGAGGTTGTTGAGCGATGTTAGCCCTTAGCCTCCACGAATCCGTGTTCTAGTGTCCCAACAGCAGTGGTGGGTTGACTCATTGTGGAGAGAGAGAGAGTGCCACCTCATCACATAGATCGAGTCGACTTCTTGGAAAATAGTACAATGGGGCCTGCATATAATGTAGAAAAAATGAACCCTCAATTCATAAGGCCTCTAATCCGTCATGCATGCAATTGTGGGACCCACAACCAAAGTTGTTTTCTCTGCTACGAAGTGGAGCACTCGTTCTATACATGAATATTTTAACAGAGACGAGTCGACTCCTTATCTTGAGTCGATTCTTTCTCTCTCCTGCTTGAGTCGGCTTTCTCTAGTCGTTTGAGTTGACTCACAAAGGTCTAGCAAGGATGATGAGTTGGTTTGGAGAAGCCCTAAACACTATAGTGCTTCATGAACAGAGAAAGGAAAGAAACCACGTGTCGGAATCGGGCACGTTGTTCGAGTTGGACACACGACGACACGCGTCGTCAACGTCCTGGTCTCTGAACGAATCGGACGAGCAGGGAGGGCGTGGCATTCTTGGCCTTTGAGAGCAAGCATGCAGCTTCAGTTCAGTGCTAGCTTGTGCTTCATTCACTCCACGCGACTTTGATATTATTGTTGTCTATATATATAATATCAGAACCAGGCTCTGGAGATGCAAAACTATACAGGCGCTCTTGACGATGATTCTTACCTGTTTGGTTTAAGGAGTAATGACATCCCGAATGAGTCCATGCGGAACGAGGTGGTCCGGTAGTTTTTCACGAAATGAGTCGGTCATGATGGACTTGGGCACGAAAACAGGGTTACTCGATGAGAGATGAGTTGAACCCATGACAGAAACCAATCGCTGTGGCTAGCTTCCTATCTAGGATCGGATCACTCCGCATCGGTGCATTCTCTAAACCAAACACGCTAGGAACGTAAATTAACATAGGCATGGATGACTTCATGCAAAACTATGTTCTATAACGGAGAGCGTCATAATCCTTGCAGCCATTAAAAATTGGTAACTATACAGTACTGTTGCTTTTCCTCTAAGTTGTCACGTCATTTCAAAATAATATTATTCGTAATTGTACCTACATTACTCCTTTTTTAGGGAATATTACACTCTCTTTTTTTTTTGCAACCGAAACTGACTGATCTTTGCCATCTATCATTGACCTTAAATTCACTCCTAAACTTTTGCATCAACGGAAATTCACCTACTTCGTCCCAAAACAGAGGTTGCAACTTCCTTTGCTGGGACACCAATTCAAGGAATGAATGGATTTCTGATTGCCCTAAGGACAGACGCTACGGTTCGCCCAATGTCCAGTTTACCGCGCATCAACACTTGTTTTTGTTGTCCTTCACGCGCGTGTTCCAGATGATGTTCCGTGCATGTCCACCATTGCTTTGTTCTTCTCTTGTTCGCTCAGAGCGCGGAGCAGTAGGATGCCAACCGGGTCCAGGCGACGGCGGCCCTCATCCTCATCCTGGCCCGCGTGGTCGCCGCCAACGGTATCTTGTCCTCCAGCCGTAGTTCTGATGTTGCTGAGCATCTCCCACGGCGATATGACGTGCACGCGCACACCTCCTTCCGCAACCTTCTAAGGCCCTGCAACGTGCGTGCACCGAGCACGCCCGCATGCCGCATCCATGTCACCCGCCTCGGCACCCGACCGCTTCTGAGTCCTGATGCTGGTCCATGCGAAGGAAAATAGCCACCGCCCACCGGTGGTTTTGCGGAGGCCGAGGTGTGCGCTGAGGCCGCGCCACCCGCTCCACTGGCACTGCTGTGTGGCTCAGGCACGACATCCTCTGTTCTCTAGTTGCTATCCTCCGCCGATCGATCACTACCACCAGCAAGAACGGCGTCACGAATCACGATCACCAGGATCGCTGTCAGCCTCTCGACCCGAGGAATTGCTGAATTCAACGGCCATTTTAGTACGACAACAAGCAATTGATGCGGGAAGTGATATGATAAATAATAAAGGGATAACTGCTGTTGCAAACTGATGAACAACACCGTGTGTTTTGGGCTGTAGAAGTCCTTTATTATTTGGATGACCGGTTACAAAGCTCTGCAGAGATCGATGACAGCTAACCAGCAAACTTTGGTTGTTTAGGCCAAGTAAAAACTTATGTGGTTGGCACTGTATTTTGGCCTGTAACAATGTTCATGTGTACTGAAGATAACAACTATGCAGAAGGTAATGTTGCAGACTGGTTAACAAACTTGTTACTTTGGGATTGTAAATATATTCTGAATGTTCTGTGTACAGACTGAGTCAAAAAATTGCTAATGGCCCAGATGAGACTTAATGGCATTCAGACAACCAGTTGTGTGATATGTACAAATCCTAGTGATTCAAAATTATATACGTTAACATGTTATAATATGACAACTAAGATGTCAATGACAACTAAGATGTCACAGAACAACCAGAGTCACCAACAGTTCAGTCTCTAATGAATCTAGCTAGTACTCCAGAAACGAGGGGCAACAGCAAACTCTTGACAAGGAATCGAGTATTCTAGTCTAGATTTACAATGGAGTAGCAGATCGTAAGGCAAAATGATCTCATCGTAATAAACATGTATCTAAGGCTCTAAGAAGAACAAGACGCCCACCATGAACTCTCCAGCCAACCACGCCGAATGGGAATCAAACGAGCTCTCTTTGGTGTCATCAGGCTGAGGTTCGGTTGCTTCCTCTTCAACACCGGATCCGACGACATCTCCCAGGTCATGGTACTTTCGGTCCTCCTTCAGTCGCAGCACGGGCTTATTGGGATGTTGGTTGAACTCCGCTTGCAGCATATTAAATCCTGCCACCTTGCAGCCACGACCAAGTGAAATCTCCTTGAGTCTTGGAAGGTGCTTGATATCAATAATCCCTGACTCTAGCTTCAGATATTCGATATGGATGCTTTCCACGAAGGGTGAGGCGTCTTCCTCAAATGTCACCTCTGTCAATCCTTCCGGTTGAGAAAGAACAAGTTTCCTGCGACCTGGGAATGCTCCAGTTCTGAATGTTAGTTTCTCTCCACTATATGCCCTTCTAAAAAGCTGAATGAGCATAAGGTTGGGCAGCGCCCGAAGTATCTCCAAGTCCTCTAGGTAGGTCCATTCTAAGTACTCCTTGACCAACTGCCCAAGATCCCCAAACCAAGCCGGTGTAGTCCCTATCTTTCCAATCAACTTTAGGCTCCTTAGCTGCGGGGGAGGGGAGAGAGAAGAATCTAGCCACTCTAGAGGTGAGCTTCACAAGCGCATTGCAAAAGGCCTCACATTTTCCCTTTGCTGCCCCTCTTGTCATCACGCTTAATTTTCTTAGCTGACTTAGATCACCCAACTCCTCAATTGCTTTCGTACTAGTGCCCTTGAGATCCACAACCTCTTGGATCTGCAGCGCTTTTAGGTTGCCGATTCCTCTTGGCACCCGCACACCTGATACTCGTCCTCCATAAGAAAAAGAGCTAGAGAAGGCCAGGTGTGCCTCAGGAACCATTTCATTGCGGTTTTCAAAATCAACTAGGGGTGTGGACATTATGGGCAGGCACAATCAAGGTTTTCATTTTCGAAAATTAAAATTTGATTTGAATTTAAGTAAATTTAAATAAATTAAACAAAATTTATACGAAAAAGATAGATATTTTCTTATTGTCACCTACGGATAAAAAGGATATATCGGAAATATCAGGAGATTTCGGCCGATAAAGGAAACCATAGGCATAATACGTTTTTCAGACATCTCAATGGTCTCCCGGTGTTGAAACTATAAATAGCATCTGTATATTTGCTACAGCGGAGGCTTCGTAGGCTTTGGAGTTTAGTGACCTCAGTTGCTAGTGCTGCAATACAACCGCCTCTTAGGTCCAGGACATGTAAGCTCTGTAATTTTCCAATAGATCTGGGAAGTGCATAAATATTTGAATGATGATAGCTTGGACCATCATACTGAGCATTCACATATTTCAAGTGGCGCAATAATCCTATGTTGTTGATATCTTTAATTTTTGCACGATTTTGAACTGTGCATCCTTCACATCCAAGGTTCTTAACATCCTCAACTCAGGTGAACAAAGTGATGGTGCGGGCTTCATTGGTCTCTCACCAAAGGAAGTTAATGATCGGACACAACTCCAGTCCATCCCTACATTTGTGCGGCTCTTGCCATGGTGTGCCACATGACGGAATTTCTCTCCAACTACTACTCCAGGTACATTACCTTCTGTTGAGTAAACAAAATTCTCCTCTTTGGATATCGAGATTATTGTATCGCGCACGATATCATGAACACGGCAGCTCTTAACAACTCCTTCGAAATTTACTCTTGCTGGTAGAATCATGCTTCGGCTGATCAGCTCCTGAAAGTAACGTTCTCCAACTTCCTCAACTGTTACTCGACCCCTGGCAGTAACCAGCCCCTCTGCAATCCACCTATCTACCAGACGCCTCCTTTTAATTTCAAAGTCCTCAGGAAAAATGCTTAGGTACAGAAAACATGGCTAGAGATGGGATGGCAAGTGATTGTAGCAGTGATTGTTACTATCCTTCGCACAGGTTCAAGGCCTGGGTTGTTCTCAAGTTCTGAAGGGAGCTGCTTATTAAATTTGTCCCACCTCTATCTTTTTACTAGCAAGGATGCCTCCTACTGTGAGAAGAGCCAGTTGTAAACAACCGCATTTTGTTGCCAACCACTACTGGAAAACTGGACTTTGACGTGCTTGAGATTTTGCCGAGTGCTTTTTATCGGGCACTCGAAAAATTTTTGCCGAGTGCTTTTTTCGGCAAAGCACTTTGCAGTGCCGACACTTTCTCGTAAAGCTTTGCCGAAAGCCCAGGCTTTCGCAGAAGCCTGGCTCTCGGCAAAGATCCCACTCGGCAAAATGTTTTTTTTTTATTTTTTTTAAACATATTTTGCCGAGTGTAAGCCTTGGGCAATCGGCAAATTTTTTTTTTAATTTTTTAAAACTTATTTTGCCGAGTGCCAGCGCCAGCACATTCGGCAAATTTTTTTTTATTTTTGAAAATCAACTTTGCCGAGTGCCCCTGGGCCGGCACTCGGCAAAGCCCACTTTGCCGAGTGCCCCCCATGGCACTCGGCAAAATATATTTTTTTTGATTTTGGGCCCAAATTTTTTTCTGGGGCCTTGTGACAGTATTTCAAACTCTATTTTAAAATTTGGTTCAAATTTGACTTTTTTTGATATATTTCATTAGTTTATTTCGTTTCGTTGAATTTTTCGAGATATTTCAAGTTTGAACTGCAGGTACATGGAATAATGGACTTTGGTCATCCAAAAATTGATACTCATGATATTTAGGGTATGTTTAGGCTGTATCCAGGAACTCACATGAAATCTCGAGCATCTCGTTGACGTAACATGTTGAGGTACTTGCCGGAAATGTGATTTTAAATTATATAAAATGCAAACGAAGTCCGAAAATCACGAAACTTGTCGAGGCATCGTGTTATCGCATGTGGAGGTTGTGGTAAAAAATTGAGAAGGTTTCAACAAGTTGTGATGTCGGATGTCAAAAACCCAGACATCTCCAGCTGAGAAACCTTTTCAATTTGTGATCACATGTGCTGGGTGACAAGTTCTGCTCCAAATACAAGATGCCTCCTGGGAGAAAGGTGCAGACTAACAGGACAGCTGAGACGCCCACATGTAATTCCTCAAGTTTGAGCGCCGGGAAAGGGAACAACGAGTGGATCTGAGGGGTGCCGATGGGATTTGTTTTTTTTTTGTTCTGATGTTCGAACTTAGGGTTTGGGGTGAGAGGTTTTTGGTTCCTGTGCCTGTGGGCGAGTCCGCGTCCAGCAGCAGCGAGTGGGCGACGGCCGTGCGCCTCCGTCGGCTTGAGCTTTTGGTGGAGTGGGCAGCGAGTGAGGGCCATCTGGAGCAAGGAGTGTGGCCTGGTTGATGGCTGTCGCCAGCCCTGTTGTTCCTCTGCACGGACGAGTTCGTTTCTCCTCTTTCTGTTACGCTTATGCAAGAAGATGAACAGTAGAAGCTAGTTAGCATGTATGTTTGTACCATTTATTCATGGTTTTTGAAAAACGAAAGGAAAATAATGGTAGATCCATATGGCTTGAAACTAATTTTGTTAGTTTACCAGATCCATCCTATACACAAGAAAAATATGTTTATGCATTTTTTTATGGTCTAGATTTCTATGTTTATTAAAATGTGAAGAGAATGTTTAAAGCAAAATAAATCTTGAGTGCCCTTAACATTAGGAAAACTAATTGTTTTTTTAAGCCAATTGATAGTTTTCATATACAAAACATTGAACAGTGAGACAACATATTCAGCTGATTTCCAAACATAAGAAATCTAAGTAGTTTCATGTAAGATCCAGCTATTAATCCATTATATATGTGTATTTTCAAAAGTAGTAAAACCAGAATTAAATTTGGTAAATAGGGGAAAGCAAAGTTCCACTTTGCAAGGATGGTTGCCTAACAATCCTGAATACCACGACTAAGGAGATCCTTTGATAGTTATTAGCAAATATTGAACTGGCCTTTTGGTGAATCCGCAGCCTATCTAAAAGTTCAGAAGTTCTACACAGGACTTGCAGGAGCATTTACATGTGTGGGAAATCAGTGGTAATCTAGAAATAGTAAATAATACAGGATCTTTTTGCTAGCAGCAGCCGCATACACTTTTTGCTAGCAGCATACGTTTTTATTTTGCTAGCAGCAGCATACATTTTATTTTTTGCTCTGACTACTCCCTTACAGTTGTTTTAATTGAATGTACAGAAGCAATGGCACTTGAATATTTAAGACAGAGGGATCAAAACATTATGAGGAACAGACCAATTCTTCCAAAGCCTTGGGCTCAGTACCCTAGATGCACAAGTTAAGGGTAAAAGTGCAAGGAACAAGGATGATGTTCCTGAAAAATCTAGATCTCTGTACAATCCTGAGAATGACGAGGGCTCTAACCAACATGACGAAGATGAAGTCAGCATGGTACAAAGGATTGTTATTGATCATTATCATTTTGGTGACAACACTTCCATTATTTTTGGGTCTAATTCTTCTTGTTTGCTTCATACTAAGCTTCTAAGGTGGGTGAGGATGTATGTAACAAGAATGTCCAACATATTGGCAAGTTCTCTGCTAGAGGTTCGAAAGCATCAAAGAGAGTGATGGCACCACAAGAAGGGGAAACTACTAGAGTTACTAGGCAAAGGACTGCTGCCAATCCAAGCCTCGCTATTGTCACACATGATGCATTGGCATCTACCAATACTACTACAAGCCCAAATGAGGAGCACATCAACAACAATGATGAAGGCAAGTTACTAGATCAAAGTTACTGGCTTCATTTATTTCTATCATGATGCTTCATTGTAGACTTCATTGCTTGTTAGGTGCACATCAACATTCAGATATGCTAATAAAATCAGATTGATACTTATTTAGTAAATCTGGAATATATTTGCTACTAACTCTACAAATGAAATCTTGTTAGGTGCATTATTTGCAAGTGCACAGCAGGTGCCACGGAAAAAATATATGGGCAAAGAGCTGGATGCGTTGAATAGAGGGCTAGGGACAAAGATTAAAATTGACATTACTGAAGGCATTTGTAGTCCTTTTTTAGTACTTGTTTTTGTTTCCTTTACCTTACAAATTTGTGTGGTGTACAGGACACTTATGTCAAAAACCAAGTTAATCATGCGAAAGTCCATTTCCATCGGCGTATAGGTTCTCGATGTTACATTGCACATGCCTATGTCACGGTAGGACAAATTTAATGCTATGTGATCTTGTTGCTTATCTTCTAATTTACATGAATTATAGATAAAGTCTGCAGCACATTGTTTGAAATAAGAAACCATGAAATTGGTTCAAGCTAATAAGAAACAAGAAAAATATAAAGACACAGAGCCCACTGCAATTGATTTGTTCAAGGAGATGCATTGCAGCAAGAAAAGTGGTTTTTGTGAGCCTGTCAAAAATGCAATTGTAAGTACTGTTCCCCTCTTCTGCAAGACATACTTGAAAGTCAACTTGAATATTTGGCCTGATCGGCTGCACTTCTTGTGCTGCAGCTGTTGCTGCATGCTGCTTATAATCTGAACCATTGAAATCTGATGCATAGAATCTGAACCTTTCAAATCTGAACTGTGCACGCAGCACCGGCTGCAGCTATTGCCTTTACTTCATGATTGGAAATGATTGTGGGCTGTTTTTGCTATTGTCAGAAATGATGTTGCAAGAGTTATGATATACTTTTTGCATGACTACTTTGTTACATGATTCATTTCCCAAGTTGGGTGTATATAGTCTTCTAAATTCAAATATGATATACTATAAGTATACTGTCTTTTCCTTCATATACTGCTTTTAGCTCTTGTTTGAGTTTAACTTCATACATGCTTGAAACAATGTTTGAGGCTATTTTGGCTAAAGTAAGGTCATTTTTTAGTTCTCTGTAAAGTATTATTGTAGGTTATTTTTCCTATACTGCTAGAAATCTGTACCAAAGTCAATACTAATTTTTGTATCATTCTGTTGCTAGGCTGCTATGGAAGCAATTGAGGTTAAACCAATGCAAGAAGGCCAGAAGTCGATGTCTTCTATTGAAATTGTTTCCAAGGTGCTGCCGCAGTTCGGGGGGCCACACCTGCAGTCTCCGTCACCGCAGTAGGGATGTTGAACTTGTGATGTTGAACTTGTAATAATAAACTTGTGATATTGAACTTTGGTGCATTTGTGATGGATTTTCGATGGATTTATTAAATATGCGTGTGCTTGTGATATATAATGCATGTTGGTGATATAGATGTGATGATTGATGTATATATATTTTTGATGTAATAATAAACTTGTGATGTTGAACTTTGGTGCTTGTGATGTTACAATGGAATGTAAAAAAAAATTTGCAATTCTCGGGGTCTTTGCCGAGTGCCATGGGCAAGACACTCGGCAAAGATTTTTCAAAAAAAAAATATAAAATTTCTTTGCCAAGTGACTCGTCGCGGCACTCGGCAAAGTATTTTTTTTTAAAAAATTCAGAAATTCTTTGCCGAGTGCCTAAACAGGGGCACTCGGCAAAGAAATTATTTAAAAAAAATAAAAAAAAACTTTGCCGAGTGCCTGGGCAGGGGCACTCGGCAAAGTAATTTAAAAAAAACTTTGCCGAGTGCCTGGGCTGGGGCACTCGGCAAAATAATTTTTAATTGCCGAGTGGTGGGTCGGCCACTCGGCAAAATAACCATTAACGGTCGCGCCACAACGGCCGAAAATATTTTGCCGAGTGCCGCCCCAAGCACTCGGCAAATTTTTTTTATTTTGCCGAGTGCCCCGATAAAAAGCACTCGGCAAAGACCCCTTGCCGAGAAAAATTTTGGCGAGCGGACTTTGCCGAGTGCTACACTCGGCAAAGCCTTTGCCGAGTGCAAAGGGCTCTTTGCCGAGTGTAAAAACACTCGGCAAAGCCGCGGCCTCCAGTAGTGAACTGTTCTACTGTTGTCATCAAACCCTCACTCATGGTGGCTTTGGTATCTTTTTGTGCCTTCCTTAGAAGCAACTCTTTGGCATCACCTATTTCTAGAGGTTGAAGATGGTTAACAAGAGAGTCATTAGAACTGCATGCCTTTGCTATAGCAGCATCACGGGTTGTAACTATGATCCGACTACCTTTGCTTTTGTTGCTTAGAGAAGCAAACTTATTAATCCAATTCCATGCTTCAATGGTCCACAAGTCATCAAGAATAACAAAATACATTTTATCCATTAGCCCTTGTGTGAGGTAGCTGGCAAGGTCATTTACATGCAATCCCTTTCCTTCAAGTCGTTTCAAGCATCTCTTCAATGATTCATCGCCCAACAGTTGCCTAATCATATCTTTCAGAAGATCTATCTTCAAAAATGATTGTGATACAGTGATCCATGCACGGCATGTGAAGTTCTTTGCAATGTCTTCCTTGCTTTCATATATCTTCCTGGCAAGAGTAGTTTTACCCAAACCTCCCATGCCGACCACTGAGATCACACGTGCATGTCCATCATCGGCACGAACTTCTTGTATCATCTCAAGCAACTTCTTCTTGGGTTCATCAAAGCCTACAAGCTGTGCTTCATCGATGTTGCTAGCCGAGTGGTTGCGAATATCTTCCAAGTAGGACTCCGTCTCGTCCATGGTGGTGTTGGATGCCTCTGTCTTGATTAAGTGGTAGCGTGTGTTCCTCTTGCTCACTTCTTCAACTCTTGCCTTGAGATTGCGGATCTGGACAGCAATCTGGTGACGGTCTTTCAGCTTCATCATCTGTTGTGACAGGCTTCGGCTTCCCACATGTACTGTGAACTCGGTAAGGCAATCCTCAAAGTCATATGACAGATCTCGTACTTGCTTTGCCCAGACCTTCACCAGTTTATCTTTTTTCTTGGTTACTTCAGGGGCTACCAAGAACGCTTGCATAGTTTCTAGTTCATCTTTCATGAACCTGCCGGTCAAATTAGGTTCAAGAAGAAATGTATCATTTTCCAACTTTTGGAACTGTCACAACTTTTATATTACACTTAAAAATACATATTGATCACTCGAACAAATGCACAATTGCACAGGAACTGATTCAAGCGACTAGATGAAAACGTCGCTGCTGCTCGTGCGTTTCTGCATGCATGCGCCGGACCAGAGCTAGCTTGAGCAAGGGAACCATGCACACTGTGGAGGAGTGGCCCAAGCCTCTAAATCACAGCTCCTCCGGCTCTGTTGGTTTCGCAGTGCAATCTCAAGAGAGCCAGAGCCTTGATGGGAGCCGCTACAGTCACCAACAGTGTTTAACAGGACCGAGGCATGAGGAGCCGGAGCCCCTGGAGCCACGCCCAACACTGCCTTATTTTGATTGCCTACTAATGCAAACTACAGTAGGTACTAGCCTCGCTCTCTAACATGCCCAATTTCTTCATTCAACCCAAGGAACAACTTAGCTATAGCTAGTGAAAGCCTGAAAGGTATATTAGAGCATATCTTCGTGAGATTCTCCATATCCTTCCTACATTCTAGGAATAAAAATTTGATAAAAAAACTACCCTCTAACAGCTTTTCTAAATGGTCATCCAAATTATAGATGTCCAACGGGACGGCCCGGCTCGGCACGGCACGGGCCCGTGCCAGGCATGGCCCGATGGAGTTCGAGCCGGCAAGGCACGTCGTGCCTACCGGACCGTGCCGAGACGGGCACTGTGCCTGACCTACGGCCCAGGCACGGCCTGCTGGGCCATTTATCGGGCCGGGCCGGCCCGAGAAGCATGGCTAGTCCAGCGTGCCGGGCCAGCCCGGGGCCCACAGAGAGAGGGAAGGGGACGTAGGGGCAGCCGTGGAAGGTGGTGGCGGCTATCAGCGTGCTTGTCCCCGAGGCAGATCCGGCTGGAGGCGGCGGCCGCGCACCCGCGCGTGGCAGGAGGAGGCAGGGGCAGCCCGCGGGAGGTGGCGGTGGACGCCACCGAGGAGGATCTGGCCGCGTGCAGCAAGAGGAGGTAGGGCCGTAGGGGCACTCCACAGAGGGGGCGAGCGGCACGCCGGTCGTCGGATGCGGATCCCGACCGGCGAGCGGAGGTGATGAACCCCGAGCCCACGGCGGCGTACCTCACCGGCGGAGTGGGGAAGGAAGGACGGAGGAGTGAGCTAGGCAAGACGCGGGGAGGAGCGAGAGTGCGACGCACGTAGGGAGCCTACGGTGCCGCACCTGGCCAGCGAACGAAGAGAGGGAGCGAGGGAGAGAAGAGATGTGAGTCAAAGGCGAGAGTGGCGATGTTGCTCGTGGAGCGTGTGGGAAAGGTGGACGGCGACTGGGGATACGGGGAAATGAGATAGGGTTATGAGGAGCCGGGGAGGTGAGATTGAGCTGGGGGCGCGGCCGCACGGGGTTGGCATGTCGGGCCGCCAGCGGGCCTCCGGTTGAGGAGCGGACCGCACGAGGTTTGCATAAAATGATTTTTATGCAAATGACTCTCTAAATAATGATTTAGAGAGTGAGATTTAGAAAGACTCTTCGAGATGCTCTTAGTCGATCGAGAGTAACTAACGGATCGGAGACAAAGGCAGATGGATCGTACATACGTACCAGATCTTCTTCTGCACCCCATGAGCAGATGAGCAGGCTCATCTCTTCCGAGGCAGTCGCGGCGGCCTTGCTGATGGCGCTCCCCAGCATGGACCTCGCCATGCTCAGCACCGTCTCCGCCATCTCGCTCAATCTCGCCGGCCAGCCTCTTTCTGATCTATCTCTAACAGCTGAGAGCTGACTAAGCTAGTAGAGGATCGGAAGAAGCTCGCAACAGGGGCAGTGTCTCGAGAGATCGAGATGCACTATTCAAGTCATGTCTTGCTGTCTTGGTGGCTTTATTGTCTGTAGTTGTAAGTAGCTGAAACATCCTCAATTTTCCTCGAAGGGAAAATCCACATAATAAATTCTAATATGATAAAACCAAGAACTGATTCCATCATATTATCATATTTTAGTCGATGTCACAATCATACATCGTAGGATTACAAGAATACAAGATATTACATCACTGAGGAACACACCTATTACAGAGTTAATCTAGCGGAAGACTATCGAGTGAAGGCTCCTCCTTCATGGGTATCATCAGAGTTGGCGTAGTGCAGCGTAGATTTCATCTCCGAACCAAACTTGAGCGTAGGCACGAGACCTCCTAATCCTTCTAAAGTCAGCATCTCTGAGAAGCATGAGATCTGCACACCGCCAGATGTGTGCAGGCCATGGTCAGCACCGATGAGCTTTAGTGGAAAAAGATAAACAAGGGATCTGGCGATCCTAATATTTGGCTGTGGTTTGCATTCTTAGCACATGAGAAGTAAATAACAATTGTATTATAATAATAATAATATCCAATTTTTAACACATTCACCACCACACCATCCATATCCATCCACCAACCATCCATCCCAAACCATCTCCACAACACCACACCATATCTCATCTCACACACTCAGGTCGACAGGTCAACTCCCTCTCGGCCTTGTCTCAACGGCCCACGCCCCCAAGGCTCACGACCAGAAAATACCCCAACCCTGGAGGGAGGAAAGAAGAACTCATCTCCTATCTAGTTTAAGTGAAACCCAGGAAAGGTCCATAGCCGATGAGTCAGCATATGTATCGATCGATCAACCATACACTCTGCAGAGGTTTCACATACCCACAAGATAGCCATCCTCAACAATGCCCCATCTAGGCAGATTCCGGCCGCTTGCTAGCCTAGAACGATGCCACCCTACCTCTCAGCCCTAGAACATCCCAAGTCTAGTCTGGGATGGCTGATACTGTGAGTCGTAGACAGAGCCGAGGCCCTCCGGATGTCAAGAGCCGGGTCCACAAGGCCTCCTGAAGTCTCAAAAGGGTGTGGGGGAAAACCGCGTGCCCCGTACCTCCTTGCACACGTTCGCCTAGCAGTAGTGGCATCGCTCTACCAAGTAGTCCGACCGTCCCGCACCATATAGGGCGAGTGGGATGTAAAGGATTCCCGGTGAATCTAAGTACTAGTAAGTCCTTAGGGATTGACCAAGCTAGAATATCTTTATTAGGGTTTCCATTTTACGTGCCACCATAGCACCTCCACCCTGGGCTCCTCCCATCACAGGTTCATACCCAAGGCCACCTCTAATTACCATTTACCCGCCACAGGTATTCAACATCCAAGTGCCCAGGTAGCACCACATGGCAAGACTCGCCCCAGGCTCGTTGTTATTCCAGCTCGGTCGACACAACCCTCACTCTCCACGCACCCAAGACACACGCAGCACGCTCACGCACCACCAAGTCCGGCACCCATAGCCAAACCATTCCCAGGGGGTTCACCACCAGCATCACATCCCCTATATAATGCGAAGTGGAGTTAATAATAAGTATAGTGGTGTAATATGCAAGCAAGCAGGCAAGTATGCATATATAAGCGAGCGAATGCGCAAAGCAGGGTGACGTGGTAGAGTGGGTTGCATCAGGGTAATAATGGCTCAGGTAGTAGCATGCATCAAAGTACTAGCAAAGGAATAATTATAAAGCGCTAGCAGTTCTAGAATTTATGCAATGTCTAATAGGATTCTCTAAAAGAGGGTGCTGCCATGACATATGCGATGTCGAGGTAGTAGTGGTACAAATCTTTGTTAGTTGACGTAGTCGATCAGCAAGGTCTACTCTTCCCAGGGTCCTGTCGTCGATCACGTTCTCCTTCTCCATCGGGTTCCGATCCAACGTTGTCCTCGTGGCAATTACCTCCAAAACACACTCAAGGCGAGAGAACAAACAATGTTCCAAAAAAAAGCGACAAGACCCAAAAGGAACACAAAGAGGAATTGACTTGGCCCTCTCGGCTGATGTCCGATCCATGGGCCAAAGAAACACGAGTGGTGGTATGCTGAGCACAAGCTTAAGTCATGGCCAAGCCAGTATGGCTTTACGATAAACGGTTTAAGCCAGAGCTTATCCAGAGCAAACACCACGGTTCACGATCTTCGATCCGGTATCATTGAATTGACAGGGATTGGAAGTTGGGCCCCAAGAAAGAAGAACGACGGGGTTCGGCTCTTATAGCCTTATCCCACAAGTCACCATTGGACATGAGTAGCAGACAAGAACGATTACCACTATTGTAACTTGACTCCAACGTATTTCGGCTCGCCCGCTATGGTAGAAAGCGGTAGCGCAAAGAGATTGGACATCAACGGTTTCCCTCGATCCACACGACACAATAACGTCGGGAGCCGAGAAGAGAGTCGCTCAACACGGCAAAAGATGCGGGGGTTAGCTAGGCACATCCATGTCATGTTCTCAGACACATCTTCAGGAAAGATGGTTTTAGACGGTCGATCGGGTCGACGTGCATGGGTCCGAGGTAAGACATAGACCATAGCTTCGCTAACCCAAAGGGAATAGTCCGGTCTTTGATCCAATCGTCATGGGCAAGACGGAATCGAACAGAGTGGGCTAATGGTGCAACAAGAGCAAGAACAATAAGGGACAAGGTCTACTTCTTCCAATGCTCGCGCCACGACGAAAGACGAGGCATTGGAAGGAAGCGACAAACACCAAGTGCGCAAACCACTCGTAGGGTACCCAACTTAGGTGCACTGGCACTAAGACATCTCTCTAATTCATAGCGGTGCGGTTGTCACCACGGGAATCAAAGAAATGTGATGGTCATACAAGGTACAAGCATACGGGGGTTTGTGCACGAAGAGGCAAGTAAAAGCAAATGAGTGGCGTAGCTCAATGGTCATGGCGAGGCAAACTCGTGGCCACAAGCTATACCAACATGTGTTGGCATCCATCGTTCCATGATTGTTATCTCCCAGGTCATCTCCCACAGGCTAAGTCGCGAAAGGCTCGATGTGAGCGGGTGATATCCGCATCGATATCGATATCGATATCGAATGCATCGCGACCATGTTCTAGGGCCGAAGGCAGGAGCTAACACTCATGGTACTATGAAGTCAACTAAAAGCGAGGGGCCGAGTTACACTCGGCATCATGGTCACGGCGAGACAGATCCCGCGATCGTAACATCCGAACGAGGTACGATCCCTCAGCCGGCTCGAAGGCTCGTCACACAAGTAACAACACCAACAATCAGCGATAAGAACCAAACACGACCGAAGATGCAACAACTCGACACGACTACGGAGTAGCACATTCCATAGCTGGGTGATGGATAGATCCTGTAAGACAGTCATGGACAGATAGGTCGTAAGAATAGGGCCCAACAAGGTAGATATGCGTATAAGGAAAGATGCGAGATGGGGCTTTCCATGGTCTCGATAAGACATACGACCAGGGTTCATTGTCCAGAGGGTACAACTCGCAGTAGGTGGGGTCATGATATCTCCTCAACGGCACGCACTTGCAAGGCAAGGCGACCGAAACGTCGGAAAGACTCCACTTGTCATCGGTACGATGCTAGGGATCACACGGTTTCTCAACGGCTCACCCTTGTTTAACGAGGTAGCCGGAATGTCAGGAACAGACTCAATACAATGATGGCACGGTGCTAGGTCATGCGGTGTATGTCAGGGCTTTGTCCGTGAGTTGTGCAATGAGACTACTTCAAAAGGCCTTTGGTGTGGGTCCCGGTAGATCTCGACGGCATGTTCTTGTAACTCGAGGTAGTCAGACAGTGGTGAAACACGGGCACAGGGTTCCACGGAACCGTCAGGGCAACCAAAAAGGGAATCCTGCAGTCCATGATGCGGCGATCAATACCACGTGGTCCAATTACGGCTTTGGGGCTCACGATGAGGTCATGGTAACTCTTCGCCGTGGCATGGCTTGGCCACGATGGGTTTTACAGGCGACAAGTCCTTTCCGGCGTCTCCTACACCGTGGATCCGTTTGGCTAGGTCCGGTCTCGTGCTAGTGAGTGCGGGCGTGTCTAGGAGCGGTAGAGCTCCATCACAACGTTAGAGACGGTGATCAAGGCTTGACTCATTCTGGCGTGGTTCACGGTGGACGAGACATGGCTTTAGAGAATGCTTCAATGGTGGTTGGCAACCACACCGGCGTTCTTGGAACTCCGGTGGTTCGATTTGTCTTGGGTTAGTCACGTGTGTGTGTGTGTGTGTTGTGTGTGTCCAAAGGCCGGAGGTGGCCTCGGTCTACGCGTTCCATGGTTGGAACGCCATGGTCGGTAAGCAACATCGGGGTTGGAAAGAGGGACACAATGGTGGCTCACCGAGGTTTGTCGAAGTGAAAGAACGTGACCCGCGTTGCTCGGCATCATGATCTTGGCGGAGCTTGTAGTTGGTCGCACCTGTGGTCATCCAACGGTTTCGGCTCATCCGGGTGATCGGGCGATGAAGATGTAGCACCTAATCGAAGCACTTGGGAAAAGAATTCGAGGTACAAGAGATAGACACGCGTAATAGATAGATCGTCATGAGGGGAAATGGAGACAAAGGAGTAGACCGGCGGCGATGGTCGGCACAGGCATTTACTAATCACTGATAGATAGATGATACAGAGATGTTGGTCATGTGCGAATGAAAGATAAACACATGTTCACAAAAGTGGGAAGGATATAGATTGCCGAAGAGGTGGCGGCTGTTGGACAGAGCTTGGCCATGGTTCGCGAAGGATGCCGCAAGGGGTCGGCTTCTTCCCTGCACATAGAGTTACACGGCTCGAAGGCCGGTCATAGAAGATGACGACGGTCGATGCCGGGAAGATGTTGCGGT